ATCGTACGGTGTCGAATAATTTGGTGTCGAATAAATCTGTGTCGAATCGAGCGGTGTCGAATCGTACTGTGGTCAAACGGAACCCGCCCTGTACAAACTGGTTTAAAAGAAGACGATTGAGCCTCTTGCCTAGGCCAATGGCGCTAAGCGAGGTTCCTTTTTTATCTGTGCTACGTTCTTTCTCAGGGCCATCCCCTCCTGTAGAGGGGGGGTTGTGAACGGCACGTTTCGATGTGTACCATAAACGGGCCCTTTGTGGTACCTATTGAGTAGAAGTTGTCTTTGTACGTTAGACATCGCTGAGAAAGTACGCTTGAGGGGGGGATTGGGCCGACGCCATCCCTCTTCCTCGAAAATTTTGCTCCAACGGGCTCCGTGGAGGCAAAAGAGCACGAAGGGGAATTAACCAGAGATACATTACGTGTTCCGCGGTCTCCACCTGGCACTGCAGCAGGCACAGGGACTTGACTGGCAAGAGTGGGGGTTATGTCTTCCCTTGGCGGAAAATCTGTCTTTGACATGACTTTTTTTTTACTTGGGGAAATGCATACGCACACCCTGACCCCCGGGGGAGGGCCAGGGTAGTGTGGGACTCGCACCCGCTAAAACTCCAAGATGGTCCTCCAGCACCACGAGAGGGAGTCCTGGAAAGCCTTACGGCTATACGTCTCGGAACTCCCCCCGGTGCCTGGGTGGCAAGTTACTACCACCTTGTACCTGACTGCGTGGGGAGAAGTGGGACCACACTATTTCCCCCCACCTCCGTGGGGCCACGTGCAATGACAGGGGAGGGCCCCCGCCCTCTACCCGTCTGGGCCCTGTCACCTCTCACCCACTTCAGGCAGTGGGGAGGGGCACCACTCACTCTCTCATCGCGAGAGGGAGAGACGGCAGTCGAGGCTACTCGCTCTCGTTGTCACCAGCAGGCCGCGGGGACCTTCGCCGTCTCCTGCGCGCGGACTGCCCCTGGCGGGCCCGTTCCGCATCCTCCTTGGCGGACATGACTGTGCCACAGAAGGCCACTACTGCCCGCCAACGCCCTGCGTCGCGCAACATGGCGCTGACAACCGCCGGGAGCGACAAGTTGTCGCCGACGTGCGCCCGCAGGGCCGCACGCTCCTGTGTCCACGCTGGGCACTCCTCCAGCGTGTGTTGCGCGTTATCCTTCGCGGAGGGACAGTGAGGACACGCTGGAGTGTCGGCCTTCCGGATGCGGAACAGGTAGTCGCCGAAAGAACCATGCCCGGTGAGAATCTGGGTAAGGTGAAAGGTAAGTTCACCATAGGCTCGTC